ACATTACCCAGTGTAGTTCAAGGATGTCATGATTTTAAATGAATTATTGTATCAATTCAAATTGTGGAAATGGCCACAGCTGCTGAGTCTTAAGATTGTTATGACAATTTCTATTACACTAAAAGTAATCATCAACAACATATATTGTGTAGGAGAACTAACACAGTTTTCCATTAGGAACACCAAGTCTGCAGACAATAAGCTAAATATGTGCTAATTGTTGTGATCATGCCTTTCTTCGTTATTTATTTACTTTATATTAGACACATATCTGCATGCCTTTAATTCTGATCCACAATATAATAAGTTAGGATAACTACATGTAGGTATCAAAACAATACTGAGGTTGAATAAGTTAGCTGCTACCATTAGCATTTAGCCTCACATGCTCTGCTATAGGCCGGCAAACTAAGAGCTGTTAGTCTACCATGTACAGTAAATGGCATTTGCGCTACCACTGGTGATACTGTAAATTGTTATCTTTGTTGTGTAGTTTTTAAAATAAATGAATCAAGCAAAGACACTTACTTGTCAAGCAGGAATGTTGCTAATTTTGCATCGGTTTTCAATCCTTTCAGTACCATAAGCGCTCGCCACCTCTGATAGGCCGCTCCGATGTTTACTCGAGTTTTAGCCCGTGCTCTATCTAATTGTTTCTTTTTTTCTTTTAGTTCTTCCGAGGTCTTCTTTTGTTTCCCTGTGTTGGGTTTCTCAGGCGCCAATCGAGGCCCCAGTCGAGGAATTGGCAGTTTTTCTGGAGCGTTAGCTTGTTTATCCTCCATTGCCACAGCTAGACTACTGTTTGAACAAGAGCGTGCCTGGCTGAGCGGGCAAAAAAGGGGGGGAGGGGCATGAGCAGCACATTCATGGGGCAAACCTCGGTTTTGATTGGATGTTCGGTCCTCGGGTCGAAGAGCTTTTAACAGAGGGCAGTAGGCCCACCGGGAGGAGTCATAGGACTTTTTTTTCCCCCCAGAGATTATGTCTAATATCAGTCTGTCAGGACACAGTGACAGTTTTAACAAATATGTCAAAAAATATATATATTAAAAAGTTACAGACTGCTTTAACTAAGRTACACGGCAGCTTTTATTGTGAAAGCACCTCGCAAGCCTATCAACCACGTGATGCTCGCGATCAAAATGAACCGTTTTTCTTTTTTCCTTTGGCTTTACTGCAGTCCAAATATAGCAGCAGCTGGTCTGGTATCCTCTGGCAGTCTGTGGCACCYTTTAGCAGCTAGCGGCTGTCACTTCCGGTGGGCTGCCACTCACAAACTGCGCTCGGCCCTGTTATTACAAGCTCCGCAGGTCGCTGCTGTGCGTTTCAAGTCAAGTTTACACCACCTCCGCTCCGCTCCGGTCCGACAGACGTGCAGGAAGCAGATTGCGCGATAAATTCAGTGATAAATGTAAAAGTCACAGTAAAAAAAAAAATTAATTCTGTGAAAGACGAACTCCAAACACAGCTGAAACAACGATCTAAAGGCTTGGGGTATCTATGTTGAAACTATCTCGCTGGCGCCTTTCTGAAACTTTTGATTTCAAAATAAAATCCACGTGTRTCGTGTGTGTGCAAATATGCTTCATGCTACATGTTTCCATCTGCTTCCCAAACAGAACGATACATTCTGACAGCATTTGTGTAGAAATATATCCGTATATTTATTAATATAGCTGCAATTTCGACATTATTCCGACAAGTTATCCAAYATAAAAGTCTTATTTTGAAAATACGGATGTTGTGCTTGTTTCTTTTCCTGTTGGTGCGACGTAATCTCCGGCGCAGCYCCGGCGTCACGTGTTGTGCGAATTTCAGTTCTCCTGTGAAAATCTGTTCCCCCTAGTGGTTACGGCGCTTCCCACATCCAGGAGAAACAGATTTTCACAGGGGAACTGAATTTCGTGCAACACCTGCAAAAATCGGATCTGTTCTATTGCCGCCGTGCGCAGCCAGTGTAAACACTCTCATTCATTATAATGGTTCGTATTTTGCTGCGGAGGTCGGACTGCAGCGGAGCGGAGACTGTTGTATATACCATCAACAGTAAATGGCATTTGCGCTATCACGGGTGATACAATAACCACCGTTATCTTTGTTGTGCAGTTTTAAAAATAAATGAATAAAGCAGGAATGTTGCTAACGCTGYATCGCTTTTCAATCCTTTCAGGACGAGGAGCTCTCGCCACCTCTGAAAAGTCGCTCCGATGTTTATTCTAGTTTTACTCYGTGCTCGATCTGATTGTTTYCTTTTTTCTTTAATTTCTTCCTGGGTCTTCTTCTGTTTCGCTGTGTTGGGTTTCAGAACAGGCGCCAATCGAGGTACTGGAAGTTTTACTGGAACTTTTGTTTGTTTCTCCGCCATTCTCGCAGCCGCTGACGAGAACGTGCGCGCCACAGATGCGCGCTGCGGGCTCGTTCACGAACAAACCTCGGTTGTGATTGGCTGCTCAACGCAGGGTCCACAAGAATTTTACAAATGGCTGTAAGCTGTACCACCAGGAGAAGCCAGAAGACTTTAGTATTTTCAGAAATTACCTGTCTAATATCAATCTGTCAGGACATAGTGAGTTTTAACAAATATGTTAAAAATATATTTTTA